ACTGGTATTACTACAACAGTTTTATACTGCAATACAGTGATGAACAGATCAACTACCTACTGAATAGTGCTCAAGTACCTCCAAACAGCATCAGTACATACAGTGAAGGCAGTGATAAAGTGTAGAACAATGACAGTGGTACTCAAATCTTTTCAGTTCAGTAAAGTCGCAATATAAGTGAATCTTTCGGATCAGAAACTTTTACTCACGTATGTTGTATGTCTCTACATTCGCTGAGGTTTGTTGCACGTAGAAAAAAATAACGTTCGAGTAATCGAATGAAAACAAAGAATAACATATAATAAACAAAGAATCTTTTATCAAGGGATTCCTTATATCGAGGGATGCACTCTTATAAATTATTATAAGTGAATATGTTTCAAATTACACTGTGTGTGGTCACATTTTAATTAAAAAATGTTATATTCCGGATTTGCTGTACTGGAACTTCAAATTATTAAATTTAGAAATTTTGAGATTCGCGTAATTAAAAATTTTCGAAATATTAAATTCGAGAATTTCACAACCAACAGGTTTTCATATTGTCCAAGTTGGAAGTTTTCAAACTTTTAGCTTCCCAGTTTAACAATTTAGAAACTTCAAATTTCTTAATTTACGGATTATGAGTTTTGAGGTTAAAGACTTTTAAATATTTTACTGTGAAAATTTCAAACTTCCAAATGACGAAATTTGCGTACCTGAAAATTTAGAAATATGAAAATTGGAAATCAGGGCATTAAAAAATTTGGAAATAAGAGAACTTCAAAATTTGAAAATTTGGAATGTGGAAAATTAAGAATTTGGAAATTTATAACAATATTTTATTCATTATATGAAACTATACAGTCGTATAGTGTATAGATAATATTTACTTAATTTTTATATTTAAAATAATTTCTTTTTAAATATATTGCAAAATTTCCCAATCTCAATTTTCCAATTTTTCAATTTCACAATTTGTCAAGTTTCTAATTCCTCAAACTGCAAGTTCCAAAATTCTCAAATTTCTGTATTTATATAATCCCAGATTACCAAATTTGTAAATTCCCAAATTCCTGAATTTTCGAATTCCCGAATATCCATATTTCTGAGTTCCCAATTTATCGAATCCCCAAAGTATCGAATTTCAAAATTACTAAATTCTCAAATTTCCAAAAGCCCCAACTCTTAAATTTTCAAATTAGAATTTGTCAAAAGTAAAAATTTCCAGTTTATAAATTGTCCTTCTATTAAATATTATACTCTACTAAATAATAAAATTTGTACATTTTCAAATTTTTCAATTTCCAACATTCAAAATTTTTAAATTCGCAAATTCCCAAATATTGAAATTTCTGATTTTCAAAATACTACAAATATTTAAATTTCCAAGTTTTCAAGATGTTAAATTCTCAAACATATACAACATAGATATCCCCTTTTTATCTCCATGCTTTAGCACATAAATTCAGTAGTGTACTTTAATGTTTAATTAACATAGGGAGCCGTTTAACTGAAAAGTTAAATTTTAGTAAAATCCACTTCCTTTAACTAGAAATCTTATAAATCTACCACTTCTTCCCTTACTGTTACTCCTTTCTACTGTTCCGAAATTCAATATTGCTCTTACTATCAGTCTTTTGAATATAACAATTGCACTTTGAAATGTGTACCCTTCTCTTATTGGAAGCACAGAGGAGGTACCCGACTTTTATCATTTTCTTGAGGTACATTTCGATTAAGGTAATCCGCAAGAATTCCAGGTGAACGAACAAAATGATAATTCTGATCTGTTCACTTTCAAGAACTTTTCCCAAAGTGCCTATCTTCGTAAATCGAATTCTTTGCCCTACATTTTCGCTCTTTTTTCCATGTTACCTGAATCTTATCCAGGAGCACACTTCTGGGAATGGAATATTAAATGGCAGACGGGAATCGATAGCTCCCATATAGTTTAATATTTGGCATCGTATAAATACAATTATGACATTGAAAACAAATTATTTTAAGAAACATTTTTTCATTGTTAACAAAATCTTTTCTCTGATAACTTCAAGTATAGAAAATATTCAAATCACATGTGGATATAGGAAATGATACGTAAATGATTGTAATTGTATAATTGAATTTGTCATTTTTTCTGCTATAAACATATTTTTTTATAAATACTTCAAAACTTTTTGGGTTCAATTGTTTTTGAAGATAGCGGTACGTATGAAAAAATTTTTCGATTATATCATCAGACAAGAAACACTTTGTACTTAAAGGTCTGAAAAATTGATTGTCTAGAATAATCCCATGCCAAAGGAATGTAAGTGATTTATTATCGTTATCCTATGTAGTATAAACATCGAATCTTCTAGATATAAGGATTTATGGGGCTTATTGCAATTTGTGCCACCTATTTACATAACACAATTTTATAAAATTGTTTCGAACATTCCATCAAAATCATCATAATAATAATTTTTATGATGAAAATTTGCATTTACACTCTTACACACAGTACAACAATAACAAAAATACATTTTTTATTTGTCTTAACGATACAGCAATATCTCTGATGCAGCTATCGAGGAAATCATATGTTAAAAGGTTAAAGATCGAACATTTGTGCTTTAATTATATTATATTTTTTTACGATGTTTCAACATGATATTGAATATTTTCAAAACCGCTAAGCAAACTTTGTATTATTCACACAAGTTTGAATTGAAAACAGATATTCAAAGCTGACAGTGTGATGATAAAATCAAAACAGAGCTTTAGGAGCAACGAAATCATGTCTTGCCAAATTGTGAGGATCATTCAAAACCTGAGATTTCTTGTACTTAAATTAATAGTAGAATTAAACTCATTAAATTTGCATAGGTAATTTTGTGCGTATAATTCCAAAACTAATAATTATAAACATTATAAAACCGAGAACTATATGAGTTATAGTTATTTAATAACGATTGTATGCATATTGTTATTTATCGTAGGAAATCTTATTTGCTTACGAAGTTCCATCAGACAATAGTAAATTTTAAAGTTGATCATTACTATCGTTTGATTAAATTGTGAAAGAAGAGGTTCACATATATTTGACTAGTTTGAGCCATACAAAAAATATTCAGGTATTAAATGATCTTCATAATTAGATTTTCTTCCATCTTTGGTTTATCTTGTTCTTCAAAAAATTGTATACTTATTTCTAGCTTAACTTTCCATGAATAATTCTGTTCAGTGATTTGAAAGAGACTAAATCACAATTTCGAGCGCCATCGTATACTGAATTTTGAATGATGAATCCATACACAATATTCTACATTATATTCTACTCTCATATACGAGGTGTGACACAAAAACAAAACGTGATTAATCCAATAAATACCTGTATCTTCAGAATCAGTTTTCCGTGACATTATCACCTGCAAAGTAGTCCTCTTCAGCATTCGGCGCTGCCATTGCTGGTAACAATTCTGGAACGAAGTTTTTGGAAGTCGGGAGATTCTCCGTTTCTGCCTAAACCTCTTCAACTGAGGTAAAATGGGTTTCGTTTAAGCAAAATTTAACTTTAGGAAATAAAATAAATAATGAGATACCCCATCACAGTAATATTTTTGCTGGTCAGAAACTACTTGACAGACAGTGCCGTGTGAGCGGGTGCATTGTCCTGGTACAACAGCCATCCATCGCACCACAACTGTGGCCTTTTTTCCTAATTTTTTCACTAAATCTTTTTAGTACTTCAATGTAATAGTGTTGGTTAACAGTCTGAGTTGGTTAACACTGGGAAGCCACTCAATCATTACAATTCCATTAATATCGAATTTTGATTTTGACATGCGTGCTTTTTTGGGTTTTGGGGATCCTGGATACTTCCACTGCATCGACTGGCGCTTACTTTCTAGGTCATAAGTAAAAATCCATGTCTCATCACATGTTACAACAGATTTTAACAAATTTTACGAGAAACTTGATGTTTATTCGCTGTTCGGGTTTTACATTAGACATTTTTCTGGCAGAATGCAGTTGCACGTGTTTACTCAATGATGTAACACTCCCAAATGGCATGACGGATTAAATCGAAATTGGCAGCATGGATAGAGAATATGTGTGGGATGATGCCACTAAAACAGTTTCTACCAACTGCATTGTTTTTTCAAACTACACACCTATTCTATTCAGAATCTGGCTATACAGAAGAAACAGAACTATACAGAACTTGGTGTATGGATTCGTCGGTCAAAACATTAATAAACAGATTGCACTCTTTTAAATATTACAGAACGTAGTAAAATTTTAAGCAGGTCCGATTCTCAGCATAGAGAACAAAATATTTGCAGTCCCTGGCCATCGAATTAGGATCACGTACGAAAATTTTACTTTTATGACTATCACATTATGTTATGTATAAAAAATTGTCTTAGGTCATGCAAAATTATTGCTAAATACGTTGATAACGGTATATACATAACAATTTTTTACTATCGTGATAAAGTGTGTAGGTAATGAATGATTAAGGGTCGTACGAGCGTTTACATTAGGCTCGAATAACGATAGTGCGAATAACGAAAATATCTGAAGCTTAAAAACCAGTCCACTACTCTCCATTCACATTATCTGAGTTGAAAAGGATTGCAGATATTTGGGAAAATAATGAAGATATAAAACTTGATCGAGAAATGTATACAGTGTATGCCGGAATGCATATTGCTGTCAGTAAAGCAAAGGGTGGAAATGCGAGATATTCAAGTAAGAATATTATGTATAATACTAGTATATCATATTAGTAGCTAATAAATTATGTTATAATAGTTTGAATAGGACTTTTAATTTTACGGAAAACGTAAAAAATTTATACTGAAAAATTATACTGGTCCTAATTCCAAGGCCAGGCACTGTATGTATCGAATATTTTAAGAGTTGACTTCCAAGCATTACGTTAATGATTATCAGGAGACAACGCAACAAAGTTAAATTCTCATCACTAAATCAATTTGTTTACATAATTTCCCTATGTTTATGATGTACAGAGCGGGCATACGTAATATCGAAAAAGGCGGAGGCCATACTTTCAACGGTTCTGGCTGACATACTAGAGGAATCGGTGGAAGATGCAAGAAACTTGGCGTTGTCCGCTGGAAAAAAAAGCATAACTCGCGAAGAAATGGAGATGTCATTGAAAAATCTCTGTCTGCGTCTGAGCACTTCACCCGCGAACAACATCCGATTTAATCCTTGGAACGACCCCGAAGATAACAACGACGAAAATAACAACACACTTAATTCGTCCAAGGTTGGTCGAAAGCAGAGTCGCGAATAATTAAAATTCTGTGTACACTCGGTTACTGGAGGAACCGGACCTCGTCGATAAACAAAATAGGTTGTTTCAGAAGGTTTGTTGTTGCAGCGACGTTGCATCCCATCGCGCTGTGACGGAGACCGCAGTCGCAAAGTAGAAACGATCTATCGAAATCTACGTTTCCTTCGGTAATCATGAGATACATACGACACAATGTACTTGTTCGCTTTTGGCAGAAAAAAAGACGGTTCTGACGGTGAACAGTCGTATATAAATTTACGTAAAAGGATAACTCTTCCTTATGTGATTATTCATGTCGAATTCATACCGTTCTGTATTCGTAGAGAATAAATCATCTTTTAAATCAATATCGGTTGGATTTAAGTTGTCAGTGCTTTGAAACTTGGTGGAAAAGAATAGAAAGTTTGAGGACTTTTTATACACAATCTTACTGTATGACTTTCTTTTATTTGGCGTGAAGAACTATTTTTTTTCATACTGAATTTCGTATACATTGGTGACGTTCCAATATCATTTTAAACAAATAGATAGAGTAATTAAAAATTAAAAGATTTAGAGGCTAAGAAATTCAGCAATTTAGAAATTTAAACATGGAAATTAGGAAGCTTAGGATTTTGAAAATTCTTAGAGTCAGGAGATTCCAAATTTGGAGAATAAGAAAAATATGAAAATTCGGTAGCTTCGAATTTTAATTTTTGAAAATAAGAAAATGTAATTTGGAAATTTGGAATCTTTTAAATTGAAGAATGTAGAAATGTAGAAATGTAGAAATTTAGATAATCAAAAAATTAGAAAATTAGAAATCTTAAATGTCTAACTAATTTCGTCTATCCAGTTCTGTTCAGAATTTATGTAAATAAATTAGTTTTTCATCGAAATAAGCAACAAATCAATTTACATTTTACTGACTAAAAGTTTGTATGACCTTAAAAAGTCAGATTTTGCTTAAACCTTGCATAATTATACTGGATACTAGATATAATAATTTTACGAACACATACCGTGCATTTTGTCAAAATAAAATTTAAAATCTATAATTCAACATTTGGCGGTTCAACTAGTTATGGTAAGGAGGCTAGGAAAAATAAAGGAGAGGGAGAACGTTTTCTCCGGGGTCTGGCTAGTGGACTCATGAGTAAGGCATCCTAGCAGGCCCTTACCTTGACGCGTGGATATGAGGAAGGGATGGACAGGAACTATATATATGAATAGGAAGGCTCTTTGAGTACTAGCGAGAAAGTCTAGGTCTCGATCCTATGCGCCGTCTAGTGGCGATGAGCGTGGGAGTGAAACCGCCACACACATTTATAAATTTTGCAGAGTGACAGTATAGTAACAAAAAAAAACACAATTTAAGTTAATAGAAACATAACATATTTGCAAATAGTCTTCGATAGAACATGATCTATTATAGATAGATTGTCAGTCATATTTTTTGCCTACTTAAACCTAACCTAACCTAACATTTTACCACAGACACTCTTTTAATTTGTTGTATTCATTCTTACAGTGTCAGTATACATTCAATCATTTTAGAGCAACGTAACCTAGTAAATCTATTATAATTCCGTAAAAAATTGAATAGATTTATAAAACCGAGAGTTGTAAATTCGAGTCTTGTGGCAAAGTTCTACTTTTTTTAAATTTTCCTTTATTCAATCTATTCTCATTTATTTGCAGTTGCAATTAATTAAGCGATGATCAATGTAACACTATTTCTACCACGATTTTGTATATACCTATTTCGATCAAAAGGTGTCTTTTGATACCTATCCATTTGATTGCAAATAATTATCAAAACTATTAGGATTTCAAATTATCAGTTAAATATAGATAGTTTGAGTAATATATTTATTGATACATTGATGTGTTTTTATTAGAGATTATTTAATAAAGTTATAAATTCTAGCTTAATTCATCAAGAAATTAAATGGAAACGTTTGGTATTTGATTACATTTTTTTATTAAATTAAATTTGTGATTCTAATTTCATTATCTTAGAGAGATACATACAAAATGTACCATTCATTTAGAATAATTTGAATAATGTATATTATAGAAACATTTGGAACATAATGCGTTGCAGCAATGTGCAACTTTTTTATATTTAACCTTTTCGTTATAATTTAAAAATATTCATTATTTCATCTCTTGTTTGTATTCACTTATCATTCATCCATTGAAAAATATTATTGTTTTAACCATTTCGTTGTGTATTGATTTTTCGACAATAAGCCGATTCATGTTAAAAACAAAGAATTAAATACCCAAATAACCATTTTTAACAAGTATTAAGCTTTAAATTGATATCACGTAAATATTAATTCATTACATTTTGGCATCATACAATTGCATTAAACTTTTGATGTTCTGAAATCAATGATTAAAAGGATTACGTCGTTCACAATCTAAAAATAGAATTTTCTTCACTGTAATTGTTAGGTATAACATGGAATAAGAAAGTATAAGTATTTATTTCCTGAATGTTTATTACAGAAATATTATGTACGTAACTATTATATTAGGTATCATATAATAAATGTGAATATATTATTAATTATTATATGTATATAAGTCGGTCTTAAGAAATAAAATACTACACGTTAACGTATTATTTCATAAAATTAAATACTAAGTAGATTTGGACGTCTTTAACCAAATATTTGCGGTACTTAAACAATATATTTTTAAAAGAAAAATAATCATAAAATTTGTCTGCTACAATTTGTACAAGCAACACTCAATTTACATCAAATTCTGTATGCACTGGAATTTTTTCTAATTATTAATTTACCTCACATGGAATCCTATGCATGTCATTTAATGTATGCCATTTAATTAATATCCAAATTATTTTCACAGCTTAAATATTAATGTCCTCAAAGTATAGTTTATACCGGCCTCAGATGAATCTTTTCATCATTAGTAAATTAGTTGCTTATCTTCTACCTTTGATAGCAGTGAAAATCGTTTAAATATTGGATTTATGTAGATCACTCTATACATAAATTTAGGAATAGATAATAAATAAATAAAGAACGAATGATCTGATCGAATCATCGTAAATTGATTAGAAACGGAGATTTCTTTTATGGAGTAGTACGATGGAATACGAATAGGAAAAGGTATTTTCCGCGATGTTTCTCTACCGGTTTTATTCGAACGTCGAATATTCGACATTTTTCTATAACGAGATGGGAGATATCACCGTTGGTCAGGCGACGAACGGTCACGGAACATTTTTCGTCAACGTTCAACCAGTGAGAGAAAGATCGGGGAAAAAGGCAGACACCGATAATCAATCGAAAAATGATTTCGGATAGCGAAGCGGATCGGCTGTTCCACCGATAAATCTTTAAAACTAGCGATTAAGCAGATACGTCGAACCGCTGAAACGAATGTCCACAATTTTCGGAATCCTGCCTATAGAGCAGCTGAAATATATTACGCTTATGTATCGAAGTGTCGAACGAAATTTCGAGCCTGTGATTTCATCTTGTTCAGACGCCTGTTCCGGCGTAACATGATAATCGAGCTTCTGCGGAAACATTTAATTGCAGCTGGGAAAGGTATAGTTGGATAAGATGATCAAATATGTTCCTGCTATACATCATTCCATAGCGTATTAAAAAAGGAATTCATGCTAAGTTTTAGCCGTCTATCTAAACTAGGCAGAGGGGCTAGTAACGGGAAAAAATCGAAATTCCAATTTTTTCTCCATTCTTCCAATTTAGCTGTATCAGAACAACTCAATTTTTTCGACGGTGAATACGCACAGTTTATTTCAATTATTATAACAACGTATTATAATTCAGTCTGCGAGTGATAGACATCAATATTACAATCAAATGCCGAAATACTTGCTCACGCAATGAAAGTCTTTGCAAAATATAAAGTAAAGTCCGTAATGACAAACAAGTATGTCCCGTAGTGACAAGTTATAAGTGAAGCCTCGTAACGACAAATATAAAGAATGAAGCACGTAGCAACAAATATAAGAGAATGAAGGTGCGGGCCCGGTGCCCTTGCTTATTTTATACGTTTCACTCCCCTACGACGTCTCCTAGCAACCACCCGATTTCTTCGAAATCTGCCACGTGCCCTCCGTCGACCTTGGCTTCGCGGTCATCCCTCTACGACCGATCCTTGCGATGCCGCCCGCCCTTTGCGGCCGAGCCGCCGCGCCGCCACGCCGCGCGCCGATACCGATGTCGCGCCGGCACTTGCCGGTACCCGCCGTCAAACGGAGCGGTCCGCGCCTTTGTACTCGTTTCTCGAAAATTACGCATCAGGAGACGTCGCCGAGGAGTGTCTTTCTTTTCTGCCGAAGTGCGCACCTGGGTTCGCCGGCATTTCGCGGTGGATCAAATACTTATTAATTGGCATTTTTCTCGGAATTTCAGAGCATGTGCCACGTGCCACTTTTGCCACGTGCCA